AACAAACTTCTGTCTCCATGGCTCCGAAGAGGATGCCTGTGTTAGATGGATATAGATATACACAGCACTTCACTGCTTCCTCCTCCTCAACACCTGGCCCTCCCTTGGGGTCTGTGGCCTGACACTATCCTGGTTCTCCTATGTCTCTGACCATCCCTCCTCACTCTCAGGTTTGCTTTCACCTACCACCTGCCACTAATGGTATGCTATTCTCCTGGGTTGTGTCCATAACTTTCTCAGTTAAGACGTTCTTCCTAAAAAATCTTAACACATTCCTGCGGAATAAATGGTCACTTACATGATAGTGACTCCTAAGCTTCTAGGTCCATCCCAGAGTCTCCCCCAGGGTCCAGATTACCTACACATCTAAGCACTGGGCCCCTCATTTTGCCTGTCTTGCAGGCATCTCAACAGTGTGCTCATGCCTCTCCTCCTCCAAGCTGGCTGAGTCTCCCTCTTAACAGACAACTTTGGGCTCATTTTCTCCCTGACGTCCCATCAGCCAGAGACCCGTATCTCTTGAGAACCATCCCATAATTTCAGTCCCTGCACCCACAGGCCTGGTCTTTGTCAGTTCCCTCGGGTCTACACCTCTCCTGAGCATCCTTACCCCTTCTCTAAGGCTGGTCTCAGGTACACCTTCCTCTATGGTGATTTCTCCCCACAAATGAAGTTGGCCCTTGCAAAAAAAGTTTCCCTCCTTCAGTGTTGACTATGACAATTCTATCATGCATATCCTGTCCACTGTGTCAGTCCCCTCTGTATAATTCCTGCTATGAAGGAGATAAAGTTTGTTAAATAAACAGATGAATGAATGGTGGTTTTGTAATGTTCAACTGAAATCCTTCTTATTTAGCACTGGACTACACTACTTTTCTCTATATAATCAGTTAGGCTAAACACATCACAAGGAGCCAAATTCAGAAGGTCAAAGGAGAAGACAGACCGCAGAGTGGTAAAGGCAAAGTGGTAAGTGCCCTTTACCATTTTAAGATAAAGGGGCAAGTGCGAGGGTCTCTGAAAAAAGGCTAAAATTAGAGGGGGTTCAGGCGGTGTTCTCTTGATCTGGATGGCCAGGTACAGGACAGATTACTTGGTTCTTAACATACAAATATCCTATTCACTTTTCAGTATACTGGTTATATTTAACAGTAAAAATTAAACGTTAAAACTCACCATTGTTGAAGAATCTCCAGAGGAAATTAAGGAAACAGTTATATGTACAGTAGCATCAAAAAGGAGGCAAAAGTCTTATATATTGAAAACTACAAGATTTTGCTGAAAAGAAATTAAGGACACCAATAAATGGAAAGATACCTTGTGTACATGGATGGAAATACCTAATATTGTTAAGATGACAGTACTACCAAAAGTGATCTACAGATTCAGTGTACCCCCATCAAATTCCCAACTGATTTTTTTCCAGAAATAGAAAAACCCATCCTAAGATTTACACCAAATCTCAAGGAACCCCAAATAGCCAAAAGAATCTTGAAAAAGAACAAAGCTGGAGGTCCCATACTTCTGATTTCAAAGCTTATTACAGAGCTACAGTAATCAAAATAATGTGGCACTGGCATAAATACAGACAGAACTACAGAACAGACTAGGATGCCCAGAAATAAACCCCAGCGTATATAGTCAAATGGTTTTCCATAGGATGCAAAGACATTTGATGGGTAAAGAACATCTTTTTGATAAATGGTGTTGGGAAAACCAGCTATCCTTAGGCAAAAAAGTGAAGCTGGATCCTTACACCATAGACAAAAGTTAATTCAAAATAGATGAAAGACATAATCTAAAAGCTAAAACTGACTCCTAGAATATAAAAATGGGAAAAGCTTCACTGTAGTCAGCAGTGACTTGGGTATGATACCAAAAGCCCAGTCAACAACAACAACATGAAAAGGCAGCCTGCAGAGTGGGAGAAAATATTTGCAGATCATGTATTTGATAAGAGATTAACATCTAGAATATACAGGTAACTTCAACAACATCAAAAGAGCCAACAACCTATTTTTTAATACCCATCTATCACCTTAACCATTTTAAGGGACTGAAATTGATTTAACCCATTTGAATGACTTAACTTATTCAAAATGACTTGAGACATCTCTCCAAAGAGATACACAGATAGCCAACGAGTACATGAAATTATGTTCAACATCACTAATCATTAGGAAGATGCAAAATAAAATCACAATGAGATACTTCACACCTATTAGGAGGGCCATTATTTAAAACAAACAGAAAACCAGAAAATAACAAGTATAGGCAAGAATGTGGAAAAACTGAAATCCTTGTGTGCTGTTACTATAGACTGTTAGGCTGCTCCGGAAAATTGTATTACTGATACTCAAAAATACAGAGTAACTATGTGATCCAGCAATTCCACTTGTGGGTATAAACCCAAAAGAACTGAAAGCAGTGTCTCAGAGATACCTGTACACCCATGTTCACAGCAGCATTATTTACAATTACCCAAAGGTACAAGCAACCCAAGTGTCGATTGACAGATTAGCAGATAAATGAAATGTGTTTTATGTGTACAATTGGATATTATTTGGCCTTAAAAAGGAAGGAAACTTTGATACATACTACAACATGGATGAACCTTGAGGACATATGCTAAATGAAATATACACTTATGGTAATTAAGTTCACAGAGACATAAAGTAGAATGGTGACTGTCAGGGTAGAGAGGTAGAAGGGTTCTGGGGGGTAAAGGGGAGTTCTGGAGATTGGTTGCATAATTATGAATGCATGCAACACTTTTGAACTGCACACTAAAAATGGTTAAGAGTAAATTTTCTATGTACTTTACCACAATTAAAATTTTTTAAATATTGCAAATAGTCATGAAAAATTATTTTTAAAATGAATCACAGACTTACATGTAAGAGGTAAAACTATAAAACTTTTCGATGAAAATAAAATAAAGCTGAGATTAGGCAGTAGTTTCTTAGATGTAGCAAAAGATAAAAATAAATTGTAATTAGCCAGAATTAGAAATTATACTTCAAAGGATACCATCAAGAAAGTGAAAAGACAAACCCCAAGTTGGGAGAATTTGTGAATCACTTATCTTTAGTTGACTTGTATCTACAACATATGAAGAACTGTTACAACAGTAAAAACCGAACTGGAAACAACTAAGGACTGGAATAGACATTTCGCCAAGGACATACAAATGGCCAGTAAGCACATGAAAACATGCTCAAACATCATTAGCCATGGCAGTAATCAAACAGATGAACAATAACTGCTGGTGATGTGGAGAAATTGGAACCCTCAAAGAGTGTTGGTCGAAATGTAAAATGGTACAGCTATAGTGGCAAATTTTGGCAGTTCATCAAAATGTTCAAGTTGGTATGGGAACAGTGGCCCACACCTGTAATCCCAGCACTTTGGGAGGCCGAGGTGGGAGGATCACCTGAGCCCAGGAGTTTGAGACCAGGCTGGGCAACATGGGGACAAAACAATTAGCCGGATATGGTGGGATACAACTGTGGTCCCAGCTACTCAGGAGGCTGAGTTAGGAGGAGCCTGGGAGGTGAGGCTCTAGAGAGCTGTGATCATGCTACTGCATTCTGGGCGACGGCAGAGACCTGGTCTCATAAAAAAGAAAAAAAAAGTTGGAATTATATGACCCTGTAATTCCACTCTTCGGGAAACATGTCCACGCAAAATTTGTTCACCATCGTTTATAGCATTAGTTATAATAGCCCAGAAGTGGAAACACAGCAGTCTGCCAACCGATGAGTGGTACATCTGTACTACGGAGTATTATTCACAAATAAAAGGTAATGAAGCACAGATAAATTCTCTATGTGGATTAGCCTTGAAAACATGGTAAGTGAAAGAAGCCAGTCACAAAAGGCTATGTATTATATAAAAAGTGTATTAGTGGCATTTAGAGGCTGAAGGGGAGGACAAGTGACTGCTATTGGGTACGGTTTGCTCTCTGGAGTGATGCAGATGTTCTGGAATTAGTGGTGATGGTTGCATAACTCTGTAGATGTAATAAAAACCACTGAATTGGTAAGTTTCAGGGTGAATTTTATGGTATGTGTGTTTCTCTAAGTAAAGCTCAATAAAGCAGTTACTAAACAACAAAGATGACAGGGCTTTATAATATATATTTTAGAGTTTCTTATTTAATTTTATTAATAAAAAGTTATATCATTTTATTAATATGTATACAGTGGGAAAATCCATTATTGTCCCTTTCCCAGTGAAAAGAAGTACACACAACAGACCTTTGTGATATTCTGCAACAATGAGCCATGCTGGTGTGGAATTCTCACTTTTTAGTAAAACCTTTAAAAACTCAAGTGAGCTGTACAACACCCTGATTGCTTTAACTTCAGTGAACCCTGGAGGTATAAAGAAGCTAGGGTTCTTTGTGATTCTTCAGTGCAAAAAAGTTGGAAATTTGGATTCCTGTTTGACTCTGTATTAAGTGATCAGAATAAAATCACTGTAAGGCTAATCTTGAACCGCTTCATGGTTTTCATTCTTGCTTTCTATAGTGGCTATCTGTTGTTTCCACTTGCTCTAAACCCCTTTCCTTTTGGGTTTGGCCCACTAATCCATGTGATTCTGACAGGAGTTAACAATGACAGCGCACGTAGCCCAGGCCTTGCCAAGATCACAGGCCCACATCCCCTTTTCCACAGGGACTGGTCCAACGCAAGGGCAGGTGACCCTGCAAGACCAGAGCCCCTCTATAGGATTTCATTTGTGGACCTGGGAAAAGGAAGTTCTCTGTCTCCCTTTTGAATCATGGATTATAAGGATGTGGACTTGTAGCTGATACTGGCCCATTATGTAGAGAGCACCAGCCTGAAAATGAATCCAGGAAACAAAAACAGTCCGAAGATGATGGTAAAGAGCCTGGGCAACACAATCTGAGGCCTAGCGTCAGCTACGCCTGCTAAGTGCTGAGGTTATTACTTCAGTAAATCAGAGCACAAATGAAGTATTTCTTCTCTAAGGAATCAGACAAACACGATTTATTTCAGAACAAGACAGGAAAGACTGAACTAAAGAAAAAGTTTTATCCTAAACTTCCCAATAGACATCTTCGGGACAGGCTCCATGTTATCAACTGTGTCAGTCACATCAATTGCCAGTGCAAATTGTGTAATTTGAAGAGTCAAGTTTGCAAATAACAATCTTTCCATTCTCTGTGCTTTAGAACAATTCTCAAAACACATTTATTATGCTCTTAAGTCATAACTGTTCAATTAGGTTTTTCTTCACTGTGCCATGGAGGGGAAAACGAGTCTAACCAAACAGATGTAGTAAAAAGTATGGTTCCTGTTTTGGCTTCTTTTGTGTTAATGACCAGAGAAAATCCTTTGTTGTTTTTCATCTTGGCTTCAACATAATGTATCAATATCCTTTTCTTCCTCTGAATCTTGCCCTGGTATCCAGCTGAAAATAAATGTACAATTAAGTCAAATTTGGTACAATATAATTAAACACCCCTTACTTTGGTAAGAGGTGTCACCACATGAGAGAAATAAACCAGTTATCAGCAAAATCAAAAAGGCAATGACATCAGAACTATCAAGAAAAACCACAGTAATAAAGATGGCATTAAAAATAACAGTTCCACTTAAAGGCGATCAATAAAGATTTTCTTCACAAGTAGAATCCAAATTACGTTTAACTTTTTATTTGGACTATATTCAATATTCGTGCTTTTTCTAGAAAACTTGCTAAGTTTAGGTTAATATTCAAATATATTTGAAATCTTTAAATTGTAACTGATGAGCCCTGAAAAATGTTAAGTAACACATTATTTTGGGATTAAGAATCCTTCAAGTGAGTTACGAGCTCACAAGCTGGCAGCATGTTCTTTGAAGCCTCACAATGCAGCCATTTCTCAAGGGTGGTAGGTGGAGTGGAGGGTTCTGAAGTCAGTTTGTAAGGCAAACTTATATAGTCAATGTCACTCCCTGGAAATTCTATATTGGGGGTCCCCATGGACCTGTACCAGTCCATGGCCTGTCAGGAACCAGGCAGCAGAGCAGGAGGTGAGCAGCAGAAGAGTGTTAGGGGCTGAGCTCCGCCTCCTGTCAGGTCAAGGGCATGACATTCAGATCAGCTGCATTAGAGTCTCATAGGAGCGTGACTCCTACTGTGAACGGTACATGCAAGATAATGTAGGTTGTATGCTCCTTATAAGAATCTAATGCCTGATGATCTGAAGTGGAACAAGTTCATCACAAAAGCATCCCCCACCCCCTTCCCCGTCCTAGGACAAATCGTCTTCTTTCATGGAACCCACCCCTAGTGCTAAAACGGTTGGGGACCACTGTTGTATAGGAAGGGATTATTTTGGAAACAGACCCTGCCAATTAGTCCAACAAAGGCAGTGTGGACAGATAGCCGTTTATTGATGGATCACTAAGTGAAGCAGCTAAAGCCATACATTTTAAAAAATAATTTTTAAATAATCAGGATGGTGAGCTGCTCACACTATGAGAGAACAGCAGATTCAAACTTCCCATCTCAGCTTCAATTAGATATACACTCACTGTCTGTAATAGCATGCAAAGTTACTTACACAATTTGAACTGTTATGTTTCTGTTTTTTTGCCGAGCATGTATAACAAGTTACGTTAAAAGTGATATGATGCTGTTCATTTTGGAGGACTAACAGTAAAACACAGTCTTAAAGATTATAAAAATTTCCCTAAACTGGCTGGGCGTAATGGCTCACACCTGTAATCCCAGCACTCTGGGAGGTTGAGGTGAGCAGATCAGGAGTTTGAGACCAACGTGGTCAACACTGCCAAACCCCATCTCTACTAAAAACACAAAAATTAGGCTGGGCGTGGTGGCTCAAGCCTGTAATCCCAGCACTTTGGGAGGCCGAGGTGGGTGGATCACAAGGTCAAGAGATCGAGACCATCCTGGTCAACATGGTGAAACCCCGTCTCTACTGAAAATACAAAAAATTAGCTGGGCATGGTGGTGCGTGCCTGTAATCCCAGCTACTCAGGAGGCTGAGGCAGGAGAATTGCCTGAACCCAGGAGGCGGAGGTTGCGGTGAGCCGAGATGGCGTCACTGCACTCCAGCCTGGGTAACAAGAGCGAAACTCCGTCTCAAAAAAAAAAAATAGAAAAGAAAAAAAATATAAAAATTAGCTGGACATGGGGGTGCATGCCTGTAGTCCCACCTACTTGGCTGAGGCACAATAATCACTGGAACCCAGGAGGTGGAGGTTGCAGTGAGCCCAAAAAAAAGGGGGGGGCCCTAAGGTGCTCTTTTCAGTGTCAAAGTATATGTGAAACTCTGCCTTGTACTGATTATGTAAAAATGGTAAGAACATTTTATTTTATTTTATTTTTGAGATGGAGTCTCACTCTGTTGCCCAAGATGGATTGCAGTGGCGTGATCTTGGCTCACTGCAACCTCCGCCTCCCAGGTGCAAGCAATTCTCCTGCCTCAGCCTCCCGAGTAGTTGGGATTACAGGTGTGCTACCACATCCAGCTAATTTTTGTATTTTTAGTAGAGATGGTGTTTCACCATCTTGGCCAAGCTGGTCTTGAATTCCTGACCTCGTTCGTGATCCACCTGCCTCGGCCTCCCAAAGTGCTGAGATTACAGGCATGAGCCGCTGTTCCTGGCCCAAGAACATTTTACTTTTTTATGCAAGATTGTTAAAAATTTCTGCAGCAGGTAGATAAATTGTAAAAATAAAAATAATCTGACTTCTTTGTTCTTTGGAGATCAAAGACCGACCTTCAGGTAGAGAATTTCAGAGTTCATTGTACATGCTTTGAAATTCTTGACAAAGTTAAAGGCTTGCATTTTAAATGGGTAACAAATCTTTGTGAGAGAAGACAAGAAAATCATTCTCTATTCACATTGAATGACAGGAAAAGATGTCACTTGAGAAAGGAAGAAGAGCATGGCCCAATTTAATGTAACCGTGCAGCCTCCCTGGATTTGATTAGCTGGCAAAAGTGCTCAGGTTCTTTCTTTACAACCACTTGCAGTAACAAAAGTAACGAAAGGTAAGGGATTTGCAGTGTAGTTCCTAAGCAAGCAAAAGCACGCTCCAGGCCAAGCATAGTGGGCGGTGGCTCACTCCTGTAATCCCAGCACTTGGGGAAGCTGAGGCAGGCAGATCACCTGAGGTCAGGAGTTCAAGAGCAGCCTGGCCAACATGGTGAAATCCTGTCTCTACTAAAAAATACAAAAATTAGCTGGGTGTAGTGGCAGGTGCCTGTAATCCCAGCTACTCAGGAAGCTGAGGCAAGAGAATCTCTTGAATTGGGAGGCTGCAGTGAGCCATGATCGGGTCACTGCACTCCAGCCTGGGTGACGAAACAAGATTCCATCTCAAAAAGAAAGTATCCTCAAGTCCAAGTGCTTTCTTCCTTTAATGGGATGCTCATATTTCTGGTTTTATGCTTTTCTCTTAAGAAAAGGGTCTCAGTTTTCATTCCAAAGATCTCTGTAGAGCTTCCAAATCAAAGAATGTTGGAATGAACCCCAGAGATTTGTAATCCCCTTTTAGGCCCTATTTCTACAATCCATCCCTCCAAATTCAAACACAGATACTGACATTTTCTCTCAGTCACATAAAGCACAAGTATATACACCTTAGAGCTCCACATTACAGGTCTGTGTACAATTGCCAACTGATCTCAACTTGAGTGGCCAACATCAACTTGTACCCATCTATACCTGCTGAGACTTCATTCTCACACTTTCAGAAACGCATGAAGTTCAGGAGCTGTGGTTAGCATGGTGACAGAATAACATAACAATGAACTCTGGGTTTTTATGAATACTACCTACCATTAACTCATTGGATAAGAATACTATCCACATCCTTTTTTCCAAACCATATCACTGCAACTTATCTGTAACTATTAAGTCATTCACATTTTTTAATCTCCATATAGCTAATTTTTAGCATAAGCTTTAAAAAATCTTTAACCACTTACCGTTGATCTTTTACACTCAAAAAATGAGTATTTCAAAGCTTTGCAGTATCCTTCCTTCAGACACTCCCGAGGGGATTTTCCTTCCTATGATAGACACATAAAACAATATAAACACCTTGGAAATTTTCTCACAAAGTACAAAATAATTGTCCTTCTGAAAATAGTTCTTTTTTAAAGTGTTAAAAGAGGAAAATAGAAAGTTATATAAGAAACAGTTCTTAATTCATTTGGGCTGTTGGTGCCTAAAGAAAGAAAAAAAAATGAAGTAACTTTTGGGAACTTGAAGGGCACTGTGGAATTCTTGAAAACACTGGTTTCTATAGGATACTTTTACTTAAAATGTTTATGTAAAAATCTAGAAAGGGATATCTTCATTTCCTTATGGGTGAAATGTGTGAACTATGTACTCTAACATCAGAACATTTTTAGTGTTGGTAGGAGACACTTTACATAGATATTAACGAGGCAGGCTGGAATACTACCTCAATAGAAATGTGTGGCCCATTCATGCACCAGGAAAAATGTAACTCAATGCTCACCGGCTCTGCATAATCAGCTGTTTCCCTCAAGCAGATTTTGACTCTAAGACCCCCTCACTGCAACCACTCCCCAGAACCTTTATGTTGCAAGTGCCAGGCACACTCCACTAGTTTTTACTGTGAAAAGCTACAGGGCACTATGTCTGTGGTATTCCTGTTCCCCAGGAATCTTGGCCACCTTCCAGTCTGTATGTCTGACCAGGTCCTAGATATCAAATGTCATCCACATCAGTGACTCTCAAAAGTGGATCAGAGTAGCAAGCTTCCTTCCTCTCCAAACTCTGCAATTCTGCTGGTGGAATGTGTTGCCCACATGAAGCATGCGGAGGCAGACAAAAGACTGATCATACAAAAGGTTGTAACTATCCTTCATAAGCTGATACCTCTTCAAACTGTATGTAAGATGCTACCTTTTTCAAAAGCTTTCAACCTGTATTGACAGCTGCCTGGGGTAAAGATCCATTAGATACACTAAAGCTAAGCGGCAGTCATTCATCATCCACTGTCCCCAAATAACAGACTGCTAGTTGTTTGCTCTTCCTTTTTCTCCAGCATATGGCTGGGTGAGATTTCCTAGACACCCTGGCATCTAGTTGTGGTCGTGTGACTAAGTTCTAGCCACTGGAATGTGTGGGAAACAGGTGTAGAACTTCTGGGTTGGTCCTTAAAGAGGCTTGCCCCTCTTCCTCACTTTACTCCGTAAGGTTGCCGGACCTGATGATGTGGAAGCAAAGCAGTCTTGAACCATGAATATGAGAGCAACACCCTATTTCCTATATTTTCCTATTTCACAGCACAGAGTCACAAGATCAACAGGGTCTGTATCCATGGAAGACTGAGAGAAATGACCAGGCCCTGCTTATAGGCACAAAAACAAAAGAAAGTTCTCTATCTTGTTTAAGCCACTATTATCCTGGGTCTCTGTAACACGTACTTGAATTTATGTTCTAACTAATACACTCCCAAGCTTTTTTGCTTGCTGAGGTCAAGATCAGTCAGTACTCTCAAACATGGCTGTGCCCAAGAACCAACCTAGGAAAGAAACTTCTAATTTATTGGGGATAGGGTAAGGGCAGCAGTGGAATCTGTACTTTTAAAAAGCCACACCGCTGGCCGAGCACGGTGGCTCACACCTGTAATCCCAGCACTTTGGGAGGCCGAGGCGGGTGGATCACGAGGTCAAGAGATCGAGACCATCCTGGTCAACATGTTGAAACCCCATCTCTACTAAAAATACAAAAACTTAGCTGGGCATGGTGGCGCGTTCCTGTAATCCCAGCTACTCGGGAGGCTGAGGCAGGAGAATTGCCTGATCCCAGGAGGCGGAGGTTGCGGTGAGCCGAGATGGCGCCATTGCACTCCAGCCTGGGTAACAAGAGCGAAACTCCATCTCAAAAAAAAAAAAAAAGAAAAAAAGCCACACCACTTCCAGGTGATTCTGATGAAGAGCCAGCAGGTCTGGAGGCTGTTAATGGAGACAGAGAAGATATCCTGGGACAAATGAAGTTCCTCCTGCAGAGTTTCATTGTCCTGATCATCCAGGAGTCATTAAATCCTAATAAGTCTCTCTAAGAGATGCCTTTTGCATCTGCTTTTTCCCTGCTTTCCTCCAACCCCATTGGAATTTACATCCTTACCATTACCCTGAGTTCCTCTGAGACCCTGTAACTCCTTGACAATCTCCCAAAGCAGCACCTAGAACTAAATACACGTTTATGCTGAATTCCTCCCTAGAGTGAGATGCTGCAGGTTTCAGGTGGGTTAAATACTGGCCAGAAGAGACTGTAGCACCAACCTGACATAAGATCAGATTAACCTTTTTCTTCAAGAACTTAAGAAATCTAAAATCTCCATCATAAATACGATTGCCATACAGAGCAAACACAGACCTCAGCAGAGCTTTCCCTGGTCTTCAGAGTCTCCAGTGAGTAGTAGTGGGCGGTAGCTGCCAGTGACACCATCCAAGAAAGTGGAGATTGTTCTGGACCTGAACACCTCCTCACTGTTGCCCTTTTACACTCCAGCTGAAGTAACCATTCAGAATGAATTTAACACAAACTGTAAACGAACATCCAGCTAAATAACTGTTTATAAGCATCAGGTTTTCTGGCTGACCAAACTGAGCATTGGTAAGGCCACATATTCAATGGCAGGGAAAGCAAAGTCTGTACCAGCTGTCCCAATCATCATCTCTGCCTAAAGCATGCTAACCTTCCAAAGCCTGGCTTTCTACACTGGAGAGATCATGTTCCATTCGTCAGTATTTGTTCCCTGAATTGGAGCCTGCCACTCCATACATGTTTGCTGTATCAACCACTGCAGAAAGCCAGCTTGGAATTCTCTGTGCTGTTGCTACTGCCCTCAGCTTGCAGTTTCTTTCCTCAGTCCTACTCAGCGTTACTTTCTTCCTTTGATCACTCATCAACATGGCCTGAACGTCTGGATAAAATCCAATCTCCTCACTCTGACACACATGTAGGCCTTCACACCTGGCTGCAACCTTCCCCTCAAGCCTTCTGTTGCACTATCATATGGACACTAGCTCCTCTGGGCCCTCCCATATCTCTCTGCCTCTGCACTTGCTGTTCTTTCAGATTTTCCCCACAACCACAATTCCCGCTCGGTTACTTGATAAACTACTACCCAACCTTTAAACTCAGCTCAAATGTCACCTCAGAAGATTATTCCAAATTCTGAAGCAAAATCAGATGCTCTCCATGGGCTAAGGCATTTTTTTTCCCCTCAAGATCTAGTCATTAAACGCATGTTTAATAAATGCTTAGTCTTACGGCAGGAATTTAGACTCTTAGATGTCTACTTCTCCCATGACACCAAGCTCACATGGGTAGTGACTGTTACTGATACATCTTTGTTATCACCAGTGTCAGGCACCAAGCCTGCCACTTAAGAGGCATTTACCAGGAGCGGGCTGAACAGCAGCACCAGTGAATGAGGGGCAGAGGGAACACAGCCCTGGACAGGGGAGCCTGAAAACAATGGTACCTCTGTTTCCTCATTTACATAAGGAAGTTGGGCGAGATAATCCCTTAAATTTATAATAACTCGTTTTACTAGACACTGGGAGGCAAGAATGGCTAACTGCTAAGATCGGTGAATCAAACATAAATTGTGACTCGGAAGAAATACTAATAGAGCCTTATAGTGGATGTCCATTTGGAGGTAATCCTTTCTCTGAAATAACAGCAACTTTATGAAACTACATCCCCCAATGCAAACATAATTGCACACAACTGAATGCCCTCCGACCTCTGCAATTGGAAGAGGCACCTGTGCTTTACTTGGGCTCAAAAGCAGAACCCAGGTTCACTCTGAACCTCACTACATGCCTCTGCATTCAGATTGGGTGCTGAGGAGACCTGTGACTGTAGCCGGGAAGTGAAGGAAGAGCGTGGGGGAAGCAAGATACGAAATCGTGCAAATACAGAGTTGCTTTATTTTTACAACTTAACATCCAAAATGCAAAGAATTGTAACTCAGAAACAAATTCGCATCAACACAAGGCAAATTTAGCATACATTCAGTCACAACTGAACAGACAAGAGACACTACTGGCCAGGGCAGTGTACCGGGTTTACGCAACTCTCTGGAATCATTCATTCTACAGATTCTCATTTCCGGGCAGGCAAGAAACCTGGCTTATTCTCCTTTTTCGTCTTCAGAACATAGCAGAACGCTAGCATTCAATAAACGCCTCGTGAACGGAAATAGGTTAATCTTCACAAAAACCCGACGAGGTGGGTATCGTTATTTCCGATTTAACCCCATAGAGAACTGGGGCTCCGATAGCTCAATGGATCTGCGCATGTTCAGTGAGCCCGAGCTGTGACTTAGGCCCGGGTCGGTTAACTCGAACCGCCGCCCCGGGCATCCCGCAGCCCTCCGCCGAGCCGGACCTCCCCGGGGCAGGCGTCTTCACCACCCGGAACACCCCGCTGCGCTACCTGGATCACACAATCCGACTGCAGCAGACACAAGCCCAGGTCCTCCCTCAAGCCCGAGCACGCGCCGCCCTCCGGCTTGTCCTCGTAATACTGGGGCATTACGGCGCTTCCCGTCAGCTGTGGACTCTACTTTCTTTCACTGCAACAGCTGCGACCTCTCCGGCAGCGAATAGAACCCGTAGTAGGGGACCGGAAGTCAGTTGCAATAACTTCCGGCGGGCCGCGGACGACGGGGGCAGCGGTGGATGAGCGACGGAAGTGGGTGCGTGTGAAGCGGCGCGCCGCTAGCGCCGGCTACGTTGCGGAAAGGGAAGCGGGCCCGGCGGCTGCTGGGCTCGGCTGGTGGGAGGAGGTGGTGGGCTGGTTCGGACGCGGGTCGAGGCTGCAGCAGGGCTCCAGGTGAGGCCTGAGGACCGCTCTTCCCACCCTCGGCCCGGGCTCGCGCTGGGGGCCATTTAGTTCTGGCAGCTTTAGGCCTGGCGTCGCTGCCGCCTGGCAGTGACCATGTCAGCTTCCGGCCGCGGTGGAGTTGCGGTTAAAATTAAGGACGCCCAGTTAGGTACATTTGCATAAATAAAGAGCATTTAGTATAAGCATATCCGAAATGTTGCGTGAGATGTAGGTATACTAAAACCTTATTCATAGCCTGTCTGAAATCCACATAGAGCTGGGCATTCTTTGTTTTTATTTGCTAAATCTGGCAGCCGTACCCGCGGTCGCGGGCCGGAAGGGAGCAGCTGGGCTTGGCCAGGCGCTGCCAGCGGCCCGGGGGCCTGCGAAGTGGAGGGGAAACAGGCAGCCGGGCACTTGCCGGCGTTCCTCGGAGCTGGGACCGGTTGGACTGGACTCCAACGCTGCCGCTCCCTCTGCTGAACTATTCCGGATTTAAAACACTAGGGATAGGAGTTCTGCTTGGTTTTTAATCTTACTTTAGTGACCGAGGAGCTTCTGGCCGTGCGCTGATGGATTTGTGTGAACAGGCTATTTATTTTACCTTTTCGGTAACGGTGTTCTAACCGGCTGAAACATTGTTTTCTTACGCATTTTCTTAAAAGCACGGAATTTCGAGTCAGATTTCTAATTTTAGCTCTATCACTATCCTCGGAGTCATGAGGCAGTCACTTCATCCCCGTCTCTGTAATGGTAGCTGCCCGTGGATAAGTGTTATTAGGTGATTCAGAAGGGTGGGCTCTTGCCCTTGCCTGAGGTGCAGTCTGCAGTTGCCAAGCCCTAAGACCCGCTTCAGAACCAACTGCATTTGCTTTTGACTCCTGGCCTTTCTCTAGGGTTGGGAAGAACATGAAAAGTGACCTCCCTCCCAGGAGGGGTGCCGGTAGTCAAAAGTTTCTTCAGAATACGTGTAAAAGAAATGTTTTTCTTCCATCTAGGAAGATGTTACCGAGTACTTCATTGAATTCCTCGGTGCAGGGGAATGGAGTCCTAAGTTCCAGGGATGCAGCAAGACACACAGCCGGAGCAAAACGCTACAAATATCTGAGAAGACTTTTCCGCTTTCGGCAGATGGACTTTGAGTTTGCTGCCTGGCAGATGCTCTACCTGTTCACGTCCCCGCAGAGAGTTTACAGAAACTTTCATTACCGAAAACAGACGAAGGACCAGTGGGCCAGAGATGACCCTGCTTTCTTGGTACTGTTAAGTATCTGGCTCTGTGGTAAGTGGTAGTTTATTTGCGATAGACTTGAACGCTGAGCGTTTCTGATTAGACTTTTCATTTATTATAAATGTGTTGTGGGTCAGAATTTGGAAATATTGGAAGCTACTTCTCCTTTTTACTGAGGCCTCAAAAGTCTCGCAGGAAAGAAAGTCTTAGTCTTCTTGGTTCTACAGATGCCAGAGTAAATTGTTGCCCTAGAACACTGAACAGCAGGGGACAAGATTCACCCCATGTCTTTATAACTACTGTGAATCGGTACCCAAATGCCAGCTGACTGTGAAAATGAATAGGAAACTGGAAGTTGCATTTCTGTCAGGCAGATCCAGAGTGACAGTTGTAAAGTTATTGATGTGAATTTGAGAAACTGAAGTTCTCCAGTTCCATAACGCAAGGGTCTCATTTACCTGTAGGGTGTTGAAGTGTGTAAGGTATTGAAATTTATAGGCTGTTTTGCACCCTTAACTGGACTTAAACTATGTTAGTGCCTGCTCTAGACTGCCATTCTAAATACTGAGGCCACCTTGGTGAATCAGCCTGGCAAGGGCCCTTCTCAGGAAACTTCAGCTCCCTCAGTAGCCATGCTGTGTTCCAAGGTGGTGTTCACACATTTTGGGAGTTTTGTTTACAGACTTGTCTCTCCCACTAGCCTGGGCATCTAGGGGGCAGGGGATGTGTTCTGTATTTCCGGAATCTAGCGGAGTACCTAAATGAGTCTTGTGAATCTTTCTTTCAGTGTCCACTATAGGATTTGGCTTTGTGCTGGACATGGGATTCTTTGAGACAATAAAACTTCTCCTTTGGGTTGTATTCATAGATTGTGTAGGTGTTGGTCTTCTGATAGCAACTTTAATGTGGTAAGTACCATAACTCTGGTTTTTCAGATACTGCTGTAGCATCTCCGTTTGTTTGCTTCAGAGGTACAATAGCAAGAGATGGAAATTGAAACCAAGATAGAGTCCTGAATGATCAATTTTGACTTCCAAGATTATTACAGTTTGCCCTCGTGTATTGCCACCCATATCAGAAAATACTCTAAAGGATGGTTTATATTGTCAAAGTGTAGCAAATAATTGAAATAATGATTATATTTTGAACCCAAAATATCTGAGACAGGTCCCAATTTAGAAAGTTTATTTTGCCAAGGTTAAGGACATGCCTGTGCCACAGCCTCAGCAGGTCCTGATGACATGTGCCCAAGGTGGTTGGGGTGCAGCTTGCTTTTATACATTTTAGGGAGACATGAGACATCAGTCAATATGTATAAGAAGTACACTGTTTCCGTCTAGAAAGCAGGGAAAGGCAGGTTATAGTTAGATAAAATGCTTGTATTCTTTTGAGTCTTTGTTCAGCCTTTCACTCAATACACAATTTACTTGTGAGAGGCAGGTACAGGAATAGTCATTTATGCCTTAGTCTGGCTCAGTGAGTGAGTCTGCATTTTTACATAAACAATAAAGCAATCAGATAAACACTTGTCTCAGGTGAACAGAAAGACTTTATGTCCCACAGCTGTAAAGATAAGCTATCTTATTTAGGATTAAAATAGGCAAGTTTGCCTGACACAGTTAGCAACTTGACTTTTATCTTTGGCATAGTGATTCGGGGGTCCCAAGACTTATTTTCTTCATACTAACAAAATCCCTGGTTTTGCAAAAATATTACAGATTTAGCCAGTTTTGCTTAAGTTGTCTGGATGATAGCATGGTTTTCTGCATTTGTCAGTAGAGACCACTCCTAGACATTCATTGCATTTAAATCCATTTAGATCTAAGGGGTATTTTGTGGCATCTAACTTTGAATCTTTGCATTAAATGAAGTATACTTGAAAAATAAGGATTGTTTTTAAACTTCTCAGGCCTTCCTGCTGAGAATAAAACCCTCTCCCTCCCCACTCTCTCTCTCACACACACACACACACACACGTTTTATCAAAAGGGTTCTCAGTTTGCCTTTGGTTGACTTCATAACAGCAGTGTACTTGAGGATAAATCTGGTGTTTGATAAAGTTCTCCTGTGTTATTGTCATACTGGTTGAAGGGCATAGGATGTGGCCAGCAATCTTAAGTAGAGAACCAGTGGTTGAGCAGGTCACTGTAGAGAACATTTTAGTTGCAGAGAGAAACTGGGTTCAAATGCCAAATTAGTTATCTGTGTAACCCTTAGTCCCAGTCTCTTTTGTAAAATCAAGTTAATTATCTATTTTGCCCAACTTTTGAGAATTATGGTATGAAGAGTACCTGAACACAGTTAAGTGTTCAGTATTTGGTAGTTACTACTAGTATTTTAAGCAAAACTCTGCAACTATGACTTATGATACCAGCCTTTAACTTTTTTTTTAAACTGTACTTTAAGTTTCTGGGGTACATGTGCAGAATGTGCAGGTTTGTTACATAGATATACATGTGCCATAGTGGTTTGCTGCATCCATCACCCCGTCATCTATTAGGTATTTCTCCTAATGCTATCCCTCCCCTAGCCCCCCACCCACCGACAGGCCCCCAGTGTGTGATGTTCCCCTCCCTGTGTTCATGTGTTCTCATTGTTCAACTCCCACTTGTGAGTGAGAACATATGGTGGTTAGTTTTCTGTTGCTGTGTTAGTTTGCTGAGAATGATGGTTTCCAGCTTCATCAATGACCCTGCAAAGGACATGACAACTTATCCATTTTTATGACTGCATAGTATTCCATGGTGTATATGTGCCACATTTTCTTTATGTAGTCTGTCATTGATGGCCATTTGGGTTGGTTTCAAGTCTTTGCTATTGTGAACAGTGTCGCAATAAACATATGTATGCATGTGTCTTTATAATAAATGATTTATACTCCTTTGAATATATACCCAGTAATAGGATTGTTGGGTCAAATGGTATTTCTAGTTCTAGATCCTTGAGGAATCACCACTGTCTTTTACAGTGGTTGAACTAATTTATACTCCCATTAACAGTGTAAAAGGGTTCCTATTTCTCTGCATCATCTCCAGCATCTGTTGTCTCCTGACTTTTTAATCATTGCCATTCTAACTGGCATGAGATGGTGGTATCTCATTGTGGTTTTGATTTGCATTTCTCTAAAGAACAATCATGATGAGCTTTTTTTCATGTTTGTTTGCTGCATAAATGTCTCCTTTTGAGAAGTGTCTGTTCATATGATTTGCCCACATTTTGATGGGTTTTTTTTTTTTAATTGTAAATTTGTTTAAGTTCTTTGTGAATTCTGGATGTTAGCCCTTTGTCGGATGGAGAGAGTACAAAAATTTTTTCCCATTCTGTGGGTTGACCGTTTACTCTAATGATAGTTTCTTTTGCTGTGCAGAAGCTCTGGAGTTTAGTTAGATCACATTTGCCAATTTTGGCTTTTGTGGCCAATGGTTTTGGTGTTTTAGTCATGAAGTCTTTGCCCATGCCTGCGTCCTGAATGGTATTGCCTAGGTTTTTACCTAGGGTCTTTATGGTTTTAGGTCTTA